CCTCCTCAGTCCAGATATGGTCACTTCCTGTTCACTGGTTGCAAAAAGACAAGTTGGCGAAGGCCGTAACGCCAAACTCGACAAAGCGTTTTTCATGACATTCGTAACCCGCCCCCTCCGTCCTGCAGGTGGCGCCAGCAGAGGGCTTCTCAGACCTGGCCGTGCAGGTGATGACGTCGCCCTCCAAGAACTACATCCTGCTCATGATGGCACTGAGCGTGTGCGTCCTCTTCCTGGTGGGGCTGCTGTGCGGTCGCATCACCAAGCAGGTGACTAGAGAACTGAAGAACCGGTAGAGGACGAGAGCGCTCCGACGTAAGAAAAGAAAGACTTGACTCCTAGCACCTTCCTCCTCCTCTTCCTCCTCAGATGCCCGGTCTGTAGACCAGCCGTCCTGCACAGTGCCAACGCCAGCGACCACATCTGGAGCTCCTTTGTTTATTCGCTGCTGCTGAATATTTGCATCAAATGCAAAAAAATGAAATCACAAAAATCGTCATTTGGGCATCTCCGGATCAAACGGATCGTTTTTGTTCTTGATGATCATATTTTCCCTCAACAATAAATCTGCTCCCCCCCCCCGAAGATGTTTTTCGAGGTCGTCCGGCATCTCTTAAGTTGCTGAATAAGCGCTGCTCATGATGGGACTGAGGGCAGGATTGTTTCCCGTGGAGCCCGGATGCTTTTATTCTTTCCTGATATTTAACTGAAGACTGGAGCATGTAGAGCAACAGGAAGTCGTTTCTTCCTGAGCGACTAGCGGACGCCTGAAATCACACTCAAACGTTTGGGTTTTGAGTCTTTGAGACGAGCCCGTTGCTTTTCCTTCACCCTTCATCATGAAGTCCTCGCCGCTCGTGGACCGGATCACGTTCTTCGGGATTCTTCCGTTTTCAACATGTCGCCCCGCGTTCTCTGTTGCCTTTAATGAACATAATCTGTCACGTAACACACAGAGAGGCTTCATCTTCTGCAGTTTATATCTGAACAGACTGCTGGTTCTCTCTGCATACTAAGTTCCTTTATTTTCAGAGGTCAGAGGTCAGACCTGACTATTAAACCTGCACTGAGCTGCCAACACATCGAGATGATTTCAGGCCCAGTTCTAAGTTGTATTACCTCGACAAAAAGAAAAGAAGGAATGCGTTTGTCTACGTTTAAAGTGTATTTACACTCCTGCATGTACACAACCGGTAGATAAACTTCAAACGTGAGCCAAAACACTGTCTGAAATTGGCACATTTCAGTTTTTGAAATGTGCCAATTTACACAGAAAGAGATGAAAAATAACAGCCGTCTCTCTTAAAAATAGCCTGAATGGGTATAGCCTAGCTTAGCATAACGCCTGGCTCTGTCTAAAGCTAAAACATTCACTCACAAACATCAGTTATTATAATTATCACACCGCATCTCATTAGTTTGATCTGTACACAAATCTAAATGTTAAAGTCTAGTGTTTGGGGTTTAGCGCCTCCTAGTGGTGAAGTTTCAGATTGCAGCCAACTGAAACTTCATCCGTGTGTTGACGCTAAAAACATGAAAGTCTTTCAGTGGAGTCTTTGGTTTGTCCAACAGCAGCCGGATGTGGTGACTTCCTGAAGTCTTCATGGGTCAACAGAGGCCCCACGATAAGATGTTATCTCAATACTTTAGTCAATATTCGATCTTGTTGCAATGCTAAATATATTGCGATTTATTGCAATTTATGGCCTTTTTTTCAGTTTGTCAACATCTGTTTTATCTAAAACAATAAAGTTTCCGCTCACTTCAGCTATTCGTCAGTCGAGCAGACAGACGGACCAACGCTACGTTATTGTTTTTTGCAATACTATAATATATAATATATAATAAGAGATACTTGGCGTCCGTGTATCGATACAATATTGTTACGCAAGATATTAAGATATTATGCTGCATCAATTTCTTTCCCCCCCGCCCCTCCTGTTTATGTACAAATCAAACATGACATGTTCGTCAGTGATCTGTTGACGGGAGCGGTTTTAACCCAGGACAGAGCCAGGCTAGCTGTTTCCCCTTGCTTCCAGTCTTTATGCTAAGCTAAGCTAAGCTAACGGCTTGTTGTGCTGCGTCCAATAACTAAATTTAAAGCTGCTGTAAACGGTCTCGAGCGCCATCCTACGACCTGAAGCTTGAGCGGTCTAATATCAGATGTACTGGGAGACTTTAACCAGGTGACATTAAACAAACGTTACATCGTTAGCGCCTCATCGTGATCTAAATACCCACATTTTATTATTTGATGCATTTTAGAAAAAGGCAACAAAAAGTAAGATTAAAGAAAAGTTACAAAGAATGTTTGACTTAAATGAATCAAAGCCGGAGGGAACAATCTGTGTATTTGACTTTTTATTTTTATGAGAGACATGACCGTGTAAATGACTTCAGTTGTAACTACAGAGATGCAAACATTATTAGTATGTTTTTCTGCTTGATGAATATTTAATTTTGCACTTTAACTCGACCGACGTCACACCGAGCCTCGTTCATCTCGTTCATTTGTAAAGAAAAAAAAAAAAAAGATTTCTAAAACAGTAACCTCAGCTTTGTTTTAATATTAATATTTGTGAACGATTTTACACAGACGAGTAGCGTGAGCCGCATCAATGTTTCTGCTCATTTACAGAAGTTAACGGAGCGGAAGCTGCAGAACGTTCTGGAGGGTTTCTGAGCGTCTTCATAACCACCGTTGTCTCCTCGTGAACAAACTTTATCGCTGTGCTTTTTCTTTCTACATGACGCCGCGTGAAACGACCATGTAACAGATTTATCATTGTGAAGTTTGATTTTGCTGTACAGATAAAAATTTGTCAATTTAATAAAACCGTCTGCTGACTTTCGTATCTTTGACTCGAGCTCAGTTTTTATTTTAATATTCCTGATGTCAGGGTTCATCAAACTGTTTTATTATAAACTAAATATCAACCAGTCATGTAAATTAACTAAGTACATTTACTAAAGTACAACATTGAGGTACTTTTTCCACTTCTACTCCTTTGTATTGTCGTACTGTTCAATAGTTACATTGCAGATTCTGATAAATATTAAAATCAACAAATACATTACGATGTCATATTATAGATTCAAATAAAACTTTATTGATCACAAAGGAGGAAGTCATAAGCAGATAAAATGAATAGTTATAAATTGCTCCACTTTTACCAGCAGCAACATTAAAATGAACTCATTTATGCATCAATAATTATAATCTAATATTATGAAATGATCCATTCTGCTCAATGTGTTGAAGTTTTGGTACATTTTGATGCTCCGAGTCTGCTGTCAAGTAAATATTTGAATGCAGGACTTTTAAGTAGTATTACTACTTTTACACAAGTAGAGTTGTGAGTACTTCCTCCGTCACAGAATAAGAACTTTCAGACGGTCTGAACATTTAACAGAATTCACAATATGAGAATTCACAATGTTTCCTTGTTACCGTTGAAAAAGTAAATGTGGCGCCATGTTTACCGGTTTCATCCAAAATTCACCCAGAAATGAAAAGTGATGCGACTCCGGCTGCAGATTGTTTTCAGTTTGATTTTTCATGACAGAACCAAATATGTTGTTGCGCTCGGTTCTTAAATCCGATGACTCGACTCCAACTTTGAGTCCCGTAACATCGTCAATGGAAACAACTTTTACCTCCAGAACCAGAGGCGCCTAAAATATCTCCTCCCAGCTCTGAACTCTACCACATGCTTACCTGAACACTGCAGGATGTTATATCACATATATGTCATACTGTCACGACAGCGCGAGGACAAAAGAGAGTCGGTCAAACCTCCAGCTGCAGAAAGCTCTTTATTGTTGCTTTACCTTCTGTACACCTTAGAGTTTCTTAAAGCAAAGGAAAGAATGAAGAAGCAGCTCTGTAGCGTTTTAATGATCTCTTAGTAACGGTGGGTTAGCTGTCGGGATGCTGACATCAGCAGGACAGAGGAGGCTCCTCACACACAAACCACAAACTTACACATAGAAAATACCCCAAAACCTGACAGAATATTATCACTTATTATTCCAGATGTTTGAAGTGCGTGTGCTTCGTGATCGCAAAACTAAACTAGCAACAAGAAAATCGAAACAGTCAGCTTTACTGAAATGAAGAGAGTTTGCTAAATTAAAGAGAATAAATTAGAAAGTAAGAAGATTTGACTATAAAAATGCTATTCTTAAAAAAAAAAAAAAAGAACCGGTAGCGACAGTTTACAGGTCAACAATCAAAGTTGACTTCATATAAACATACAGCTAACACGTTAAAAAAAAAGAGGGAAGAAAGTGAATTCAGTGTCGCGCCTAAAAACCTACAAAATAACTGAAGCGAACCGCCGTCGAGCTGAACAAGCCAATCAGAAGCTAGAACACTCTAAAGTCCAGGTACCGGGAGATTCTACTGGTTTCTACTGGGAGCGGTGGCTCCTCGGTCAGACACTTAAGGCACCGACAGTCTGTTCATCGGGTTTGTTTCGTCTCTTTTGAATCAAGCAGCTGAGCAGAGAGGATGATGAAGATGAAGATGAAGAGGTACCTCAAGCTGCAGTTCCTCAAACGGCCACTAGGTCAAAGACTGAAAACTACTGAAAAAAGTCCCACATTTTCTATTAAAATTATATTTTCCCCACAAGAAGTTAATTTTATTTAAAGATGAGAATACTAAGGCTTTAATAAAAATATAGTTTTATGCCGACGGGTTGAGAAAACTACAGCGAGCAGCCGGTTAGCTTAGCATAGCATTTGGACCGGAAACAGACGACGGATTGTTACACAAGTAGTTAAGCTTGTAACTGGGTCATGACTAGAAGTTGACCCACGAGTTGCAAAAGATGAGCAATAAACTTGAATGGTTAACTTTGCGGTTGAGTTTTTGCAATTTTAGACACACGACCGCTAACTGAGCATTCGCTAAGTCCCGCCTCTCGAACGCAGACTGGCCAATCATAGCATCAGCCAGCTCCGACCAGGTTCCCGACAGCTGGGGGCGGGGCTTAGAGAAGGTTCAATTAGTTGTCTCTTGACAAAATGCATCCTGGGAGTTTGAAACTTTGACTTTTTAAATCAGGGAACCAAATATTTTCTAAAACAGTAATCTTTTGTACCGGTGATTCAAATCAAGAGTTTCTGCAAGAGTTTTCTCGTTTAACATTCAATTAACAAAAATTAATAAGACTTTTAATTCCAAAAGAAAGTCTTTAAACTTCCAGTCTTTATGCTAAGCTAACAGGCTGCTGGCTTTAGTCTTACGTGAGATATGAAAGTGGTATCCAGCTTCTCATCCAACTCTGCAAGATTCATCAATTTCTTTAAAAAGAAGCATGTGTTTGATTGACAGATGTTTCAACCAATCACAGTCAGCCCTGTTGATGACCTCACCCAGGTCTTGTCCTCTTTGTGTACATGTGCATTTTCTGACTCGAGCAACTGAAAAAGATGGCGGCGAGCCGAAATCCACAACATCCCGTGTTGTGTTGTTTGAGTGTCTGTTCGTGTCGGCAGGACTCCGGACTTTGACCTCGGTCTGAGGCTGAGGCTGATTTTCAAAAACACAGCTCAAAGAAAAGAAAAACAAACTCTGTGACGAGTTTTACAGTCAGTTGCAGAAACCGTCTGGTTTCACCGTCTACACGTCAGCTTCTCATTGGTCCTGGCATCTCGAGTGTAGTTGTACCGTTGGCTGGGTGACCGGAGAGGGGCGGGCCATCAGGAGGCGGCGGCCTGGACGTAGTTGGCGGGGTAGAGGCCGACCTGGCCGCCGCTCAGCTGTCCTTTACACCAGCCCTGCTCGTCCTCCTCACTCATCTTCAGCAGCTCCTCGCCTGGAGGGAAGACGGTGGTCAGAAACGTTCAAGCAAAGCGTTTAGATACTGCGCACTGAAAGTGTGAGGATGCCATCTGTCCCTGTTCATCAGTGATCTGGACCTGGTTCAGGGTAAGCTTTTATAAACTAAGGTCCCTCCCTCTGCGGTCCCATCAGGTCCCATTAACTCGGTGTCCCTCTAAACTCACGAGGACGGACTACAGCTCCACAGAGCCGCCTGGTGAAACTCAACCAGGACGTCAGCTGACAAGAGAGTCTCCACACAGACCTGAAGGAAGTGTTTTAGCCTCATCGTTGGTCTACATATTACTACGGAAGCCCTGTGAGGACAGTGAGAAAGAGATATTCTGGTGCTCAATTATCTCAACAGGTGAATACAAAGTTTGTCAGGATAATCTTTCAAAGTATCTCAAACGTTTTTTTAATCTATGAAACAAAAAACTTTTGTCAGAAACATTTTTAATGTTTGTTGTTGTAATACTCACTTTGGCCACAAGAGGCTGAAGTGCACCACTTTCGCATGTTCTAACTAAGACTATACGTTTTAACTTCTCCATGCACTCTAACCGTATACTATTGTTATTAACATATTATGTGTTAGCAATATGCTTCAGCCTCTTGTGGCCAAAATGAGTATTACAACAGCAACCACTTATAAAGATGATCCTGACAAAACTCACATTTATTGTGTTGAGTTTTCAGCTTTAAATATATAATAATAATAATGACAATAACAATAATAATCCTCCAAGCATCAGAACACACAAAGAAGCTTAACAATCGTACACATCATTTGCTGATGAAAGCCATTCATCAAAACAACAAATAAACTGAAGTCTCTTATTGTTTTACATTGTATTTCTTCATAACTGTGCGTAAAGTCTTTATTCACATAAAAGAGACTTTACTTGACTCACAGACAGCAGAGGAAGTATTTAATAAACTGTTTAAACTAAAACAGGAAACTAGAGCAGCAACTCACTCCATCAAAATAAAAGCATCAGTCCTCTGACTTTCTGCTTTTATTTCCAAAGACGACAGATGACGTGAAGCTGCTCACACATCGGTCACTCACATCATGCAGAGAGTTAGAAATCATTTGACTATTTCTGCCATAATGAGCCAAGTCACAGAAATACATGAGTTTAATATCTTATGTATGAAGACTTATTCTCTTTGGTGCATTTGATCATCAGCACTCATGAAGCCACGTGTTCGACATGAGTGTGTGTGTGTGTGTGTGTGAAGCTGTTAAGACGAGGCATCACAGGCGAACAAAGAGACAAAATAAAATCATATTTTCAGGCTCTTAAATATTAACTTTCTTCTGTTCGGATGTGTAAATATATGTTTGTTTTTGAAGCTGTGAATTCATAAAAATGTGCAAAGTTAATAGAAAGGAATTAATTCTCTCATTTAATTGTGATAAATATCTTTAAGGATAAACTAAATATCTTTTATATTCATCTTTTCAGAGTCACAGTATAAAGTACACAACAAGTACACAAGTACACGGCCATATGCAGTTTAAAAGTGCTACTTCCTGTCTTTACATTTACCTTATTATGTTATTAAGTCAAATTATTTACTACATCAATGTTTAAACAACTTAAAGCAAACTGCATGGAAACTATTTATTAAAAATAATATCGTTTTTTGAGAATGAATTCAGTATCACAAAACATAAAACAGTATCAATATTTTCTTACATAGTATAACATCCTGAAAAGAGCCATTCTGCATAATGATTACTTTTAGTACTTTAAAATACTTTGATGGTAATACTTTAGTACTTTTACTGAAGCACTGCATGCAGGACTTTAACGTGTAACAGAGTATTTATATTCTCTGCTTTTAGTACTTTTATTTGGATGAAAAGTTTTATTCTGATGTTTTTAGTGCCGCTGATTATTTCCATTGTTTCTATCGTCTGTTTTGCACATTTTAATGAAAATGACAGAAGTCATAAAACTAAAACCGATCAATCAAACCAAAGATCCCCCCCCCTGTGATGCCCCCCCCTGTAAGCATTAGTAGGTGTTAATACCTGCTTTAAAGCTGAGCTCATCGGCCTCCTGGCCTGTGTAATCATAGAGCGCTCGGACTCGCACCCCCTCTACCTGATCCTCCTCCTCCTCCTCCTCCTCCTCCTCCTCGTCCTCCTCCCCCACGCCGTTCACCGCCAGCTCCTTCTTAGGACTCTCCTCGTCTGACCAGTCCGACGAATAATCTTTCACCCTGAGAGAGAGAGACAGGAAGTCACACAGACACAGATAAACCCGGTCCCAAATCTCCACAAAGAGAAAAACCATGTTTCAACAGCGTCACGAGTTACAGAAACATAACGTTCATCATGAAACATTCTCATCAGTAAAGGTGTCGATACTGTGAAACCTTTACTTTGAAATATTGTATGTTCTTAAAGTGAGACACGACACAAAAACATGAGACACTAGAAACGTGTTCTTGCACATTTAGCCACATTTGCATGAAGGCAGAACATCTAAACACAAAGCGCTGTGATGCACCGCTGTACACCTGAAACCTGAAACGTCTCTTTGTGAAGCTAAAAGACCCGGAGCACAGGTTTAACACACTGTATTATCAGTGTTTGGTGGAGTTTAATGTGACTGCTTCCTGTGTGAGACAAAGAGGACAACCTGTCCAGTGTCCTCCCAGCTCATTTGAGACTCCAGTCAAAAGAAATGAAGCTAAATGTGGACGTTTCACAGACGTCTCCTCCAGCAGAGGGAGGGCCGGTGGTGCGTCTGTGGAGCACCGTCAGCAGCAGACGTGATGGGATTAAAGAAAGAAGTAGAGCAAGTGAGTTACAGCCAAATGTCTGTTGCTTTGGAGGAAACGTCTCTCCTTTACGCACGCACGCACGTGATATAATATATCATTAAAACTACCAATGACGACATTTGTTTTAATCCATAAAAATGTAATCTTTTGTTTCCTTATTATTAAATTGTTTTAATGAAGAAGAAAAACCCTTTATTAAATGACTATAACAGAGTAAAAGGTGAACATTTAGAATGTTCGCTGGTTTACTGACTTCAGCGCGTTGAGATGAATGTAGAGCAGCTGTTATAATCAAACAAAGACGACCTGCGTCTGTTAATATGGATCATTAATGATCAGCAATGAGCATCTGTGGCAAAGAAACGTGATCAGAGATCTAAAAGGTGTATTTTATACTTGGGTAATACATCTCAGGTAACCCTTTAGTCTCCATGCTACCCCTCATACATGAGACACGGTGATCACGGCGGTGAGGGTTTGAGTGGAGGCGTCCTCCTACCTGCCGGTGTCCAGCGTGATGGGACTCGGTGGGACGCCCACTCCGCCCGAGGACACGATGTTGGTGAGGGTGACCACGTTGTCCTTGGAGTTTCCACCTCGCACCTTCCTGCTGATGGAGCGACTCGCCTCCGGAGACCACTCCTGCACGCGCACGCACGCACGCACGCACACACACACACACACACACATCAAATGATCACATGAACAGGACTTAACTTAAATAACGCATTCTTACTCTTACAGATGAAAAAGATTCAATACTGTGAAGTAAATATTCTCAGCTTTTAATTCTAATGAATCAATGTGTTCATCACTGTTTACGTTTTACATAAAATATGATCGGAGTCTGAGGGGATCAGAGCATCACACAGACACAGACACACTTCGGCCACGATAACAGGCTGCTGACAGAAGTAGGTGGCCGAGGATACAGTTACCGGTAACACCCTCAACTATCAGCACTACAGGAAGTGTGTGTGTGTGTGTGTGTGTGTGTGTAAACTCAATGTCTTCACAGGCGTAGAATTCACACCACACAGGCAGACTGTACCTCTGATGTTACGGCTCCCTTTCTTACATTTTTAAAGTATAAATACTCAGCAGAGGAGTTAAAGTTGGAATTATGAATGAGTATACTCAACACAGAGTCCTCACAAGTACAGAAAGACACACGTGTGTGTGTGTGTGTTGGACAATGGCTCTCTGTTAGCGTGTCGGTGGCGCTGTGGGAACGCCAGAGGACATTCCTCAGAGGACAGAGAGATTCATTTCTTTCTGCCAACATCTCTCTCTTTCTCTTTCTAAACTCTTATTATTCAGTTCTGGAAACACTGTGGAAGGTAAACGGTGATAACTTTGTCCCGTTATGAAAGATTGTCCCTCCCGAGGTGTGAAGAAAATCTCTTTTGACACCTCAAGAAGAGTGATGAGGATGATGTTCCTCCTCCAGGAGACTTTGTTTCCTGCATTCGGTTGACTTTTAAAGAATCCAGATAGATAAATAATATGTTTATTTAGTTTTATAGGACTAAATGTATTTCACTTTCAATTCTCTGGAAAGAATACAGAACAATTGGCCCCTCTGGCATGTTTTCATTCATTTATAAACGTTCCCCCTGCTTGAGTATTTGAGCCTCTTCGTCCTCTCCATCGCTGTGTCCGCCTGCTCTAAACCATGGAGGCTGTATTGTTGTACGGGTGGAAACAGTAGGCTGTGCAGAGCTACAAACAGGTCGGTAACAGAAAGAAAAAAAGGTGTGAAAATGTGTCAGAAATTGGGAGAAATTCTCTCTCTCTCTCTCACACACACACACACACACACACACACACACACACACACACACACAC